TGGCATAGCATAGTCCTCAGTGACAATGTTCTACACCCGACTCTGGTGAGTAGTATCTGGGATCTTGAAAGTTCATGAGCAGCTGTCTAAGGTGCAGCTACTGGTCTCTCCATGGGCAGAAGAAAGAAAAGTGTTGAGAATTGAAGATGCTTGGAATCACTTAGTCCAGTGGACTGATGGACCATGTGAACATCAGTCACCAGCACTGTGGGACCAGAAGAGCTAGTTAGTACCCAGTTATCACTACCAACGGCTCTGAAAGGGATCACATTGGAAGGTCCCGGACAGAACGATGGAATATGTGTAACAAAACTCAAAATTATTTAAAAAATAATAATAATAAAAAGAGACTGGGCTTAACTGTCAAGAAGATACTGGAGAAATCTTGACTACAGCCCTCAACCACCCTTCAAGTCTGGACAGGACCTCACTCTCGTGATTCAACCTTCAGGGAAGCAGTAGATGAGATATACAGGGGGACAACAAGCTAGTAAGGTGTGCTCACTATGAATGAAGGAACCGTCAATCATTCAAAATCAAAAGAGCCACACAGACCTTAGGACAAAGGTGAGGAGGGCTGGGAAGGTGGGTGGAATGCAAACAGGAACCAGAGTGCAAGCAGGATTGACTGTTGTCCCATGGAGGGGACTGCAATCATTGAGGTGAAACAGTGCATAATCGTTTTAATGCAAAAGGGATGATCTTGTCAGTAAATCTTCACTCAATTCACAATAAAAAGTTTAAAAAAGAAAACTATTAAAAATTGCATGAGTCACATACCATCACTGCCCCATGCTGATGATCCCTTTCCTTAGAGGAATATGTACAAAGACAGCTAGGGAGCTTACACAGACAGTGCACTCGACTGTTCCCTGCTTTCTCGTGCAAGAGGAGAGGCAACTTTGGATAAAGACACTCTGCTGTAAGAGACAGAGACCTTGGCTTCTCCTAAACTGCTGTTGTGGTTATGTGCCGTGGAGTCGGTTCTGACCCATAGCGACCCTGTACTGAGGCTGTGAATCTTTACGGGAGCAGAAAGCCTCATCTTTCTCCTGCGGAACAGCTGGGAGTTTCCAAGTGCTGACCTTAAGGTTCGCAGCCCCATTCGTAACCACTATACTACTAACATGAAATTAAGGGCAAAAAACCCCATCAAGCATAAAAAATGATGATTCAAAATGATCCAGTTTATGGTTTCTGGAGCATAACAAACAATCCCAAACACTAGCACTCCAAAATGTTAAGTGCTGTGGAGTTGGTTCCGGCTCATGGTGACCTAATATAGGGGTTTCTGAAGCTGTAAATCTTCACAGAAGCAGAAAGCCTCATCTTTCTCTTGCACCAAAAAAACTTAGCCATGGATAATTAAGAGTCAAGTATTTACATTTTCTACTTAAATTACATTTGAGACTTTAAACAGCTAATGTTACCTTAAAATATTAAAAACCTGTAAAACGAGGTCATGCAAACAGGCTTCCAATTTATTTCTACAATACCTAATTGCTTAATTTAGTATTCTCTCTATTAAAAACTTTCTAAATAAGTTCATTTTCAGTATTAAGGTTAGTTATTAACTGCCGTTGCGTCAGTTCCGATTCATAGTGATGCTGTATAGATTGAGGCTGTAATCTGTGCAGAAGCAGAAAGTTTCATCTTGCTCCTGTGGAGCGGCTGGTGGGCTAGAACTGCTGAACTTGTGGCTTATTGTACAGAGCTGCCGAGCTCCCACGAGTTATTACAAAGGGAAATTAATAAAGTTTAAGTAGAATACTTACTCAACTTTAAAACAGCAAATGACAATTTCTACATAATAATTTATTCCTATGAAAGCATTATGCTTAAATGTAATGAACATTATACCTGATCCAACCGGGGGAAAAGAACAAGCATTGTCTGCCATATTCGGTTTTTCACTCTGTGCTGCAGAGAATTCACATAGTAGCGAGTTCTGGACTTGGACACAAATTCATCCTGGAGGGAATCAATATTAAATCACTGCTATGACCAATGAAAACAAAATCCATCACAACTTTAAATAGAAAAGATTTGAATTGGACATAGGGGTTTATTTTCCCCCAAAATACTAAATCTACTTGTTCTACTGAAATTACCCAATAAAAATTTAGAATTTATACAATAAACCAATTCAGTATAGACTATTGAGGAACACATTTTTCACTTCTACTACTTTGGAAACATTTCTGTATCATGGAAATAATCCTCTTCGTGGCCAGAGTAGAGGGACACATGAGCCACAGAGGAGAGACTAGATTCTGAGGAATCTGACACAATTTACAACGTAACTATTGGGGCACTTCTTGTTTTGTGTCCTGTGTCTTGTATCAGTTTGGAACAACGGTGTCTGCCACTTGGTACAAACACCATTATCTGCCACTTGGTACAAACACCATTGTGACATAAATGAAATGAAACACAGAACCAGCAGCACTGGCATTTCCACGTGACCAGAGAGCGTGCTCTCGCTCCTCCAGCCAACCACACGGTGTCTTTTTGTTGCCCAGTCAGTCAGTCTGCTTGAGCTGCTAAATCAGAATTGAACTCAAGAGGGAGCACTTTCAAAGGCCTTAAGGGTGAAATCGTCATACACAAGCTACAAAACCATCTTTACTGGATGTAGGTTGATCCTTATCTACTTTACACCTCCCTCAAGATCTTTCTTCCTCCACAGCCTCATTCTGTGTATTTGAATATGAATAAAATGTATGAGATTAACTAAATTCATACGTGGGGATTTGAAAAAGTTAGTAAAAAACACAATGGAAAGATAATGGGATTTTCCCACAAACTTTTTGAAGTCCCTATGTATAGATTTTAATGGCTCCTGAAATCTAAAAGTTTTCTGGGTTACCACATTTCTTTTGGGGCATTTCATTTTGCCTCAGGTGGTTTTAGGTTTCACATGTGGTTCAGCCTCTGTGCAACCAGGAAGATGACTAGGATAGATCATACAAGCTTTGAAAAGCAGCATCTTGACTTCACTGCACCTGCCATTACGTCACACCAGGGAGACCGCGTGGCACACAGGTTAACCCGCCCGATTGCTACTCCAAAAGGTCACCAGTGTGAACAGACCGACCAATTGCTCTGAGACTTGGTGATCTGCTCCACAAAGCGTTCATACTGGGAAGCCTATGGGGAGGTTCTACTCTGGTCTACAGTCACTGTGCGCACACGGAAGTGCTCTGCCTCTAAAATTTCCTTTTCAACTCAGGATTTTCTGTTCTTCTACTTGTTCCGTTAAATAGGCAATTTTACTCACTTTATTCTACCAGTCTATCAAATCCTCTCCTAGTTTCATGTCCTTTCCTACCCCACCTGGATCTCAAGAAGAAGTTCTATAAAATTTTAAGAATATATTCAATTCTTTTCACCACAACCTCACATCCTTTGTATATTCTCTACTTCTAAACCAACTGAGAGGTCTTGTATTCTTTGGCCCTGCTTTCAGGTTACCACACACTGCTGAAGGAAGAAATAAAGTCACCTACCTTGATTTAATTAAAAACATGGATTCTAACTCGAGCTGGACACTAAATTGCTGGCCCACCCCCATCCCAGGTTTTCTGACCCAGAGATAGGGGATGGTACCTGGGAACCTAACTGCCTTGCAGGTCCCCAGGTGATGCTGATACTACTGGTCCACAGGAGACACTAAGAACTACCGTGAGAGACAATCATCTTGCCTTTATTCTATTCTGCTCCCATTCCTAGTCCTGAAAGGAGAGTCTAAAATATTTTCTACTTTCCTCAAATGTTTAATTCAAATTATTTTTTTACTTCAACCATGTGGTATCCCTACTTCAACAAGAAAATAGATACAAATTCTCTAGAAATGAATGCAATCTTCTCTATTTTCCTATAAAGAAAAGTCCATACATTCCTTTCAGAGGTTTATCAAAGTTATTGAAACTAAATTGTAATACTTCCCTTTAATGATGGACAGTTGTTTCCACCTCTTGGTGATCATGGATAATGCTGCTATGGACATACGTGTGCAATTTTTTGTAGGAACATATGTTATTGACATAACGTATGTGTATCTGTCACAGATCTAGGAATGGGATTGCTGAGTCAGTGAATATGAGTCGTGCTGTGAAACGCAAGGTCAGCAGTGTGAAACTACCAGCTGTTCCGCAGGAGAAAGATGGGGCTTTCTGCTCCCGTAAAGATTTACAGCCTTGGAAACCCTGTACAGGGTCGCTATGAATCAGAACTGACTTCATGGCACACCACCACCACCACGACAACTCTATGCTAACTTTTAAAGGATGGGCAACCTGATTTTTCCAAAGGGGCTGCAGTATTCCTACCACTAATGTACAGGAGTTCCAGCTCTTCCACATCCTTGCCAACAAGCGTTACTTATTGATTTTACTATTACTGCTATCATTATAGCCATCCCAGTGGTTAGCCTGTGTGGTTATCCCCAGTTTCTCCACGGTCACCATTTCCCCATCTCATTTCTTCAACAAACAAACATGCTTCAGTTATCTGCCATCTTTAAAAAGACCCTTCCCTCAACCTCCCTCAAGAACGCCCATACACTCTATCTCTATTTACTCAATTCCTGTTTTCTACTGGGGTTTTCATCCTAGTTCCCCGAAATGCCTTTTGTCAAGGTGACCAGTAGCTGCCTTCTGGCGGAGTCGAATGCTCAGTCTAAGCCTCCATTTAGCGTCCACCACTCGGGGCACCATCTGGACACTGTCCTCACCTATCTGACCCTCTGTCTAAAGAACTACCCCTCTCCTTCTTCCTCTGCTTTCCTTCAAAAGGTTTCTGTTACACAGCTTATATTGTGTTTTATACCCACCATTTTCAATTCTGCTCATCCTTTAACAAACAAACATCATGTCCTCTGGGACACCTTCCCTGACCACAGAATTTCTGCAGTTAAAAAGAAGTTCCTAAGGTTTTTTAATAAAGCCAACCTGCTACCTCCAAAAATAAATGCACAACAAATACTCCTATCTTAATTAAGTTTAATAGATTTAAACTTAGGTAAAGTCTATAGCCATCGTTATGTCCAAGTGTCCAACCCAGAGATTAGAAAACTCAAGTCCTCCCTGTCCTTTTAAGTAAGAAAGGGGCAGGGGCCACTTTACTGCAGACACCATATTGTCCTTTCACAACAGACTCAGGCAACCCTCAAATCTCGACACTTGTTTTATGCTTACTGCGTAAAAAAGACATTTTATCCACTCAGATAAGAATAAGATTTAGATATAATTACATTGGAAGCGAATCTTGAGGTGACTGGTTATGGATTCACAGTCAAGAAATAAATTCTCTGCATTATGCCAATTTCTAAAATTTGTCTATTGATTGATTTCTTACATATAACAATGTGTGGACATTTCACTCTAAACACAACTGGTTTGGGCCAGTTTCTGAAAAATACACAGACGTCTAGATAGTATAGAAAACACTGTTATTCTCTGAAAACAACCTTGAACTGGTTAATACTAATCAAGATTTAACTAATATACAGAGTATAAACTTCATGCTTTCATTTATTTAAAAAAAATAATTTGGATATGTATGAACCAAATGCTGGATTTCAGTTTGTAAAATGTACAACATAAGTAAAATTTAAAGTAAAATAAAGCATAGTTACTTTTTCCAACAGCTTCATTGCAAGATCTTCCATAAACAACTTATGGGACATATTGGAGCCATCTAGCAAACACAGGAATTTGACAGCACAAATCCTCACATAATGGTCCTCTCTCTTAGTACTAAATAAATAAATAAGATTAAGAACCACATAAATATATATTTTAAAATATAAAACTACACCGAACTTAAGTTTCAAAATATTATAACAAATACCCAAACCTCCCAAAGGTTTCTACAATTCCATAGGTCCATTTTCAATGACAATTTTAAAAATCTGGATGTACAGCAGAAGATGACAAGTGACGATATCAAAACAGAAGGCTGCCAGAAAGCATGACTAAGCACACATTCATCCCGACTTTTGGAAAAATCATGCGCACACTGCTGAGCCCGAGTCACTATCTGATCTCGGGATAAATCACAGCATAGCACATGAAACTGCTCTCATGAGAGGACTACAGAGGTCTGCTTGCTCAAGTGACAAGGAAAAGTATCAATATCTTCCCGGCATGTTTGTTTTCTGTCGACTACAAATGCATGGCATCTAAATGTGGTGCCCGGCTTGTTTGTTTTCTGTCGACTACAAATGCATGGCATCTAAATGTGGTGCAAACCAGGACACGAAGCCCAGGAAGCTTTGTGTGTCCTGAGCATCCCAGCATTTTTAATAACAAAACACTCAAAGATAAATTAACAAAATCATTAATGGTAACTGTTATGATATGAATGAATGTCCTTTTAATAAAATAACAAATCATTAGTCTATTAGCAAGGAAAGTATTACAGAATCATCAACTAGAAAACTTCACTTTTACTGCTATACTAAACACAAAAACATCCATTAACAGTTAACAATGAAAATATGTACACATGTATATGTTTACTAAAGAATGTCTTTAAAACATAGGCAGGACTTTCAGAAGAACACTTTATGGTAGGGGAGGGGGTGGAAGAACAAGGTAGACAGGGGAACATTGAGACAGCTTTGCATGGACTAAATGGGACAGAGGTAAATAGTGATGAATGCTCAACCTTGGAACAACAGGGCTCTGGGATACAGGGATCAAGGTATAGTGAAGAGGGGAAATAATACTAAGATGCTTGACTGTCTTATGAATACTGGTTTCCCTTGCCTACTATTGTAAAATAGACACTTGAATGGGATAGAAAGGAATGTTGGGAAACATGATTACAGAAAACTTGTAAGCCCGTCCTCACACTATAAATGACTGGAATTCCTAAAAGGGGTTCTAGATCTTGCCCAGTGAAATAGGCCTCTTGCAGAACCTTTGCAGAATATAAGACCTTAGGTGTAATCATGAGTCCCATCCAGAACCTTCTGAGGTGGGACATCCCCACTAGAAAGGACAAGCAGACCAGCCTGGAACAGCTAAAGCAACAGAAGATACATCTTCAAAGAAAGATCAGCAGGAAAAACCCAAAACAAAAATGGCAGTCTGGTGGGCTACTACAAGAACAATCAAGTTAAGTTGTTCACCAGAAGCCATCAAGGCAAGCAATCAAGTCCCTTCAGGAAAAACCCTCCTCCAAGACTGGAATTCAAAGGGAACACATGAGCAGGCATGTAAGCTTGCTGGCGACCACATTGGTCTACTGCTGAGTAGAAGAGGGGGAAAGGCAGCAATGAAGAAATGGGCTGAGTTCAACCACGATCCATAGACTCCTGTTGACCTGGAGAAGAAAGAGAGAAGAGGAAGGGCTGGTTGGTCCAAAGTGTGGTTATATCTGGGGACACTTGAGCCCATGGACAAGGACATAGCCACGGCGGGCTGGAGCTGAGAGTGAAGCTTCCAGCTGATATGAAGTGAAGAGAGGTGCACAAGAACACCCAAACTTGCAAATAGTACCCATTTGATCTAGCCTTGATGGCTTGATAATCAGAACTTGATCAGAGGACGCTTTAAAAAAAAAAAATTGATAAAGGAAATGAGGGTAAATTGCTACAATTTGATGAACTTGACCTATACTCATGGAGGCAGTAGCTCAAAATAGCAACAGAGAAGTCTTCACATCAAGTATCAATGCTATCCTCTCTGTATACAGTATACAGGGTAAATAGGGACGGGCAACTTAGACATTGGTTACTTAAAATGAGGGGGCAATAAAAGCACGAAGTGACTGGCTTACAAGTTTTCAAGAGGGAGTTCAGTTTAAGAGTGTGCAGGGGAAGATAAGAATCCCCACTGAATAGTTTTCATCTTGTCTAGGTGGGTCTGGTTAAAAGAGATGGAGATAAGATTCTTATGATTCAATATTAAATAGTTGTTATCATGACTAATTGCGACTGTCAGAATTATAAAGATAGCAGTTTTGTAATAAAAATAAGGGAGCGGTTAATCTTACAGTCCAGAAACAGAGGACCCTAGGACCATCAAGGGCAAAGAGCACGAGCGGAATACAAGACCTTATCCAGAGAAGCAGCAACACCAGAGATGGAGAGAGAGGGAACAGCTGAAAACTCTAGATTCATGGAAAGAGAGGGGCTGAGAGCTGGTGGCCAGGAGGCAGGCTTGCAGAATGTGCCCTTTGGTGATTTAAATGATCATATATTCCTGAGTGTTTTAAAAAAAGGAGCTAAAATGAATAGAGAGAAATACTGTTAACTGATGGTACATGGAAGGGATTATAATCATTGTAATGAAACAAAGTGTATGATTTGCTGAAGGTAAAACTGATGCTCTACCCTGTAAGCTTTCACTCAAGTCACAATTAAAAAAACAAACAAAAAAAACATCTTTACTATAGCCATGCACAATAGTCATCTGTTGTCCTAAACTCCAAAATTCAAATGAATACTACTATTTGTTACCTTCATTATAAATAAGACACGTTTTTGACAGCTACATGAAAAATTAAAACTTTTTAAAAAGCTAGCTAAGCTCCCCTCAAAGAACAAATTCAGAGGTGAACTACAGAATTGTCTTTTCCTATAAGTCTGTATTTTAGAAGCTGTTCCAAGAATAATTCTATTTTTGTACGTAATATACAGACTTGTGAAAGTGTGAGTTTTTAGTAGCTGTACTAAGCTTTATTGCCAAAAGGATTAAAGAATATAGTGTATGAAGGAAAGAGACCTTCCGTAATTCCTTTTCTCATTTATGTATGACTTCATAATGAAAATTTCTGATTACAAAATTTTACTAAATAGTGATGGGTATGAATCTATAGATATATATATAGATATATATTAGCAAGAAAATAACATTTATAACATACTTTTGAAAGCTCATTCAGTAACTTGTAATAAATTAGATTTCACAGTAAACATTTATCAAACTTAACAAAAAAGAAAATGACTCCCTTATGATGTTAAATTTTCAGCATCCCATTTTTATCAACAAGAAAAAACCCACCATACTTACTTTTCTATAACAGCGTTAGCTGCACATTGATTTTCAAGGTTTTCTATGAAGGTCTGTACATCCTGAATAAGTCTTTCCATAAAATAGCATTTGATAAAGAAAAGCAGGTGTTAGATAGATTAAAAATTAAAGAAATAAGGTTAAAATGATCTAATATTCTATATTCTTCTACTGCAGGAGTAGGGAATGTCCAATCCGCAGGCCGGATTGAGGCCCACGAAATCAATTGGTCTGGCCCTGCCAAGGCAACCACAGTTCCAGCCATCACATTGTTGTTGTTAAGTAATGCAGAGTCAGTTTTGACTCACGGCAACCCAATATAGGGTTCCCACCGAGTGGCTGGTGAGTTTGAACCATCAACTTTGTGGTTCAAACCTACCTTATGGTCGTACTGCACCACACTGCTTTTGTTGTTAAGTGCCATCGAGTGGTATCCGACCCACAGCGACCCTATACGAGGTTTCCGAGGAGCGAATGCTGAGCTTGAACAATCAACCTTGTAATTCAAATGGCTTGGCAGTCTGGCGCATTAACCCACAGCGCCACACCAGGACAGTGCCACATTAGTGGTGAGTTAATTAAATGTTTGACCAAACATAGCAAGCTAATTTTTAAGTTGATAATTTTGTATGGCCTGCAAATGATGTTATAAATTTGACACACAAAAGGTTCACCCCCCTGCTCTAGTGGCCTTCCTCAAGACAAAGAAGCATTAGTTAACCCGAGGAAGTACTTAACATTAACTCATGACAGGTTACAACAATCCTTTTACCTCTGATCACGCCTAAAGACAGGTCCAAATACACAGGCCTCAAGGACAAGTTCACTGTAACTCTGAGCACTTGATAGAGAAGCCTGGGACACCTTTGAAGCAGACACTATCCAAGACTGGCAACAGTAAGTGATCAGCGTATTGAAGACTCCAGTTTTTATAGCCGACATTTCAATGATCTTGTACATAAGCTGAAATAAAATACAATGGTCAGGCTAGCCTTAGATTGATTTTTTTTTTTAAAGGGTCGTTTCAGTGTTTGACTGATTTAATTAAGAAGAAAGGAAAAATGTTTAAAAACAGTTATCCGAATGGCCTCAAATAATAGTTTTGACATAATCACGAATCAAATCTAATTATTCTTCTGGAGGTACAGTGGGTTCAACATTGGGCTGGTAACATAAAGGTCGACGGCTGAAACCCGCCAGCTACTGCCCTGGAGAAAGATGAGGTGGTCTGTTTCCATAAAGACTCAGACTCTTGGTAGGCCTACAGAACACCTCTGGTCTCTCCTGTAGAGTCACTAGGACCCAAGCTCAGCCCGATGGCAGTGGGCAGGGTCTGGTCAGTATAATTTAAAAGGTGATCAATAATCTCAGAATGGAAAATTTCCATTTTCCAATAGTAAAAAGTTAAAGAAACTTTTATTGATCATGAGACTTAACTAAAACTCATGAAAAGCAACTGCCCAAAGTAGCAGAATAAAAAGGAGAAAGAACACTTTACATTTTACCATTTTAGTTTTTTTTGTTTTGCATCCCAGCAAAGGACTCCCTCTCCCTGATTCAGTGAAGACCACGGTCTCTAAGCACATACTGCGGGGTGGACACGTTCTGGATTGTGTCAGAAGCAGGCTTAACTCCATAATTCTATCATGCTATGTTCTATGGTGTGGAAGCTGCAGGATAAGCACTGGACTGCTAACTGAAAGACTAGCAGTTCAAACTCACCAGTTTGCTCCTTGGAAACCCTACCCAGGGCCACTATGAACAACACGTTCTCCACTTTATCTGTGGCTACAGATTCAAAGGCCTCCGAAAATGAGGATGACCTTGTAATAAGAAAAACCTCATTTATCTTCAGAGAAATGCATCGCTGAGTGAGAAAAGCTCAGGTGCAGTCATGAAAGGCAGCTGCTGTCTGTGTTCAGGGCCAAGGAGCAGCCAAAGGTCGACTGTGGAGGCTGGAGAACCAGGGAGGGTGAGCCCCACTCAACAGGGCAGCTTCCTCTCCACTCCAGGAGACACGCTAGTGCTACCTGACCATCTAGTTTTCCAACAAATGGGGAAGCCCAGATTTCCACACAAAACACCCAGTTCTTAAGCACTGGCAACTAATTTAAAAGTTCAAGCACTGTATGAGCCAAACATGTTTGTGAGACAGATATGGTTAAGACCTTCTCTCTTTTTTTTTTTCTTTCACAGAATTTCTTGTCCTTACTCATGATATTAAAGAATGTTTTTTAAAAACTGTTGGCTGAATGAGTAAGTAGCAAGAAACCTAATATACAGTTACAAATACAAATCTCTTCTTCCTTGTATGTTGTCGTTGTTAAGTGCCATCTCACAACAACCCTGTATAGGGTTTCTGAGAAACTGCTCATCTTGTGATTCCCAGTCCAGTGCTGATCCTACAGTACCACAACAGTCTGCATCACAGGACAGAACACACACACAGAGTTACCTCTTTTATCTTGACATAGGCCTGGCCCTTGACTTTTGCGGCAATGGTAAGAACTTGGTTATCAAAAACAAACTGAACGAAAGCTTTTAAATTAGACCAGAATATCAGCTGAGTGTTGCTTAAAGAAGAGATGATTTTCCAGGCCCCATTAAAAGACTCCATGCAGAGTGCCTCACAGGACATCAGGAGCTGGTGGGAAACAAGACCATGAAATATACACGGATCACTGAATTTCAGAAACTGCTACTGCCGCTCCCATAGTTACTCTCCACGTCACGTCTCACTCTTATCATACCTTGGGAACCAAAATTTTCATGCACTGGAACACAGGTAGAACCTGATCAGAAGGGAGAATTGTGAGGGCTTCCAATGCAGACTGCAAAGTCCTTCCTGGCATTTGAACAGCAGGTAGAAAGGGCTGCAGGATTTCACTCTCTGCTGTTGGAATAAGAGCATGGTATTTTTTCAGCAGGAAACAGAGGCAGACCCACTGATCGTGGACATACTGCGCAACTACTTTCCCCCATCCATGGGAAGACGATGATTCTTCAAAAAAGCTGAAACAAAAACATAATGTCACTTCCCCGTATTTCCTCAGTTATTTCCATTTCTATCACATGTACCAACACCCTTATAAAAGGAAAAGACAGATACGAGTTTAAACCACAGTAGGCTCAGCACTGGACTGCAAACCACAGGCCAGCGGTTCAAACCCACCAGCTGCTCCGCAGAAACCCTTTACAGGAAGTGACTCAACAACACTTAGCAACACCAATAATCAAACATCCACAAAAAATAAGGGACTGACATTAACCTCAATGATCTAACTACCCTGAAAACAAACTTTCAGACCCCCTAAATAATTCACTGAAAACGAGGTCGCCGTGCTCTCAGGAAGTGTACTGCTGTTGGATGCTGTCGAGTCGGTTCTGACTCACAACAGAAGGAAACCCTGCCTGGTGCTGCGTCAGCCTCAGGATCTTTGCTGCTTCTGCCAATAACCTCATATGGATGCGAAAGCTGGACAGTGAATGAGGAAGACCGTGGGAGAACTGAGGCCAATCCAGCTAGTCAGGGGAGGCCCTGATTTTCGCTGACCCTCCACTTTACCAAGTCTGATGTCCTTCTCCAGGGACTGATTCCTCCTGATAACATGTCCAAAGTAGGAGACCAGAGTCTGGTGACCTTGGCTTCTAAGGAGCATTCTGGTTGTACTTCCTCCAATACCGATTTATTTGTTCTTCTGGCAGTCCACAGTACTTCTAATATTTCCCTCCAAGACCATAACTCAAATGCAGCAATTCTCCTATGGTCTTCGTTATTCACTGTACAGCATTCACATGTGTAGGAGGTGACTGAAAATACCATGGCTTGGGTCAGGTGCACCTTAGTCCTCAAGCTGACATCTTTGCTCTTCAACACTTTAAAAAGGTCTTGTGCAGCCGATTTGCCTAATGCATTACGCCATTTGATTTCTTGACTGCTGCTTCCGTGAATGTTGATGGTGTGGATCCAAGAAAAAACGAAATTTTTTACAACTTCAATCTTTTTTCCATTTATCAGGATGTTATTTACTGGTCCAGTGGTGAGGATTTTTGTTTTGTTTGCATGGAAGTACAACCCATACTGAGGGCTGTGGTCTCTGATATTCATCGGTAAGCATTTCAAGTCCTCTTTGCTTTCAGCAAGCAAGGTTGTATCATCTGCATATCACAGGTTATCAATGAGTCTTCCTCCAATCCTGATGTCATGTTCTTCTTCATATAATCCAGCTTCTCAGATTATGTGCTCAGCATAAAGATTAAATACATATGGTGAAAGAATACAACCCTGGCACACATTTTTCCTGATTTTAAACCATTCAGTGTTCCCTTGTTCTGTTCAAACAGCTGCCTCTTGGTCTGTGTATAAGTTCCTTCTGAGCACAATTAAGTGTTCTGGAATATACATTCTTTGCAGTGTTGTTCATAGCTTGCAGTGCTTTTGACTTGATCGACACAGTCAAAAACCTTTGCATAGTTAGGTAAACAGCTTTCTGATATTCTCTGCTTTCAACCAAGATCTATCTATCTGACATCAGCCTTGACATCCCTCGTTCCATTCCTTGTCTGAATCTCGCTTGAAATTCTAGCAGTTCACTATTAATGTACTATTAGAGCCATTTTGAATTATTAGCAAAAATTTTACTTGCATGTCATTGTCTGATAATTTCCATATTCTGTTGGGTCTTTTCTCTTTGGAATGCACACAAATATGGACCTTTGTTAATCAGTTGGCCACACTGATGACACAAATGAGTGACAGCCTCCAGAACTGTCTTTGTTGAAACATTTCAATTTCTGTTCCATCAGTTCTCTGAGCCTTGTTCTTCATCAATGCCTTCAATGTACCTAGGACTTCAGTGCACTAGGACTTCTTCCTTCAGTTCCCTTGGCTCTTGATCATATGCTACCTCTATTGAAATGGTGGAACATTGCCCATTCCTTTTTGGTACAGTGACTCTGTGAATTCCTTCCATCTTCTGATGCTTTCTGGATCATGCAATATTTTCCCCTTAGAATCCTTCAGTATTACAATCAGAAGCTTGCATTTTTTCCCTCAGTTCTTTCAGCTTCAGAAATTCTGACTGTGTTCTTCCTTTTTGGATTTCTAATTCCAGGTCTTTGCACATCTCATTATAATATTTGACTTCATCTTCTAGGGCTACCCTTTGAAATAGTCTGATCAGAAATTTTACCTCTTCATTTCTTCCATTTATTTTAGAGCATCTCTATGCTGGAGAGCAAGTTTCAGAGTCTCTTCTGACATCCATTTTGGTCTTTTTTTCTTGTCTTCTTAATGACATTTTGCTTTCTTCCTGTATAATGTTCTTGATGTCATCCCACAACTCTTCTGGTCTTTGGTCATTAGTGTCTAATGCATCAAATTTGGTCTTGAGATGATCTCCAAATTCAAGTGGGTATGTTTAACGTCATATTTTAGCTCCTGTGGACTTGTCCTTAATTTTCTTCAGCTTCAGTCTGAAATTGCATATGAGCAATTGATGGTCTGTTCCACAGTCTCCCCTGACCTTGTTTTGACTGATGATATGGAACTTTCCCAAAGTCTGTTTCCAAAGATGAGGTTAATGTGATTTTTGTGTATTCTATCTGGTGAGGTCCACGTATATAATTGTATTTTATATTATTTTAAAAAGGTATTTGCAAAGAAGTCAATGGTCTTTCAAAATTCTCTCATGTGATCTCTGGAATAATTTCAATCACTAGGGCTGATTTTCCAGCTACGGATCCTTCTTCTTTCTTTCTAACCTTTGCATCACAATCACCAGTAATTAGCAATACATCATGATTGCCTGTTCGATCAATTTCAGACTGAAGAAGGTGGTAGTGATACTGGTGGTGGTGGTGGTGGTGGTGGCTGTAAGAGCTGATTCATAGTGATTCTGTATAGGTTTTCCAAGGTTGTGAATCTTTATAGGAGCAAAATGCCCCCTCTTTCTCTTGCAAAGCAACTGGTAGATTCAAGCTACTGACCTTGCAGTTAACAGTCCACCTCCTAATCCACTACGCTGTCAAAGCTCCTTGTGAAGAAGCTGGTAGGATTTTTCCATTTCATCATAACTGGCTTTATTGGTTGGTACATAAATCTGAATAATAGTGATTTTAACTGGTCTGCCTTATAGGCAGATGGATATTATCCTAGACAGATCTTGAAATGCTCTTTTTGTTGATGAATGCAATGCCACTCGTCTTCAATTTGTCGTTACTGGCACAGCAAGCAATGTAATCGTCAAACTGAAAATGACCGGCACCAGTCCACTTTAGCTTACTGTTGTTGCTGGTAAGCACCGCTGAGTGGATTCCAACTGATAGCAACCCTGTATAAGACTTCTAAGGAGCAGCTGAGGGGTTAGAACCTCCGACCTGTGGTTCAAACTGACCTTGTGGTCCAGCACAGTATCCTGCAGCAACACACCAATCTTTACCCATTTATTTCATTTTTGATAACTACCAATTTTCCTAGATTCATACTTTGTACATTCCATGTTCCAGTTGTTAACAAAAGTTTACTGCTGTTTCTCCTCCTTTTGAGTTGTGCCCCACCAGCCAATGAAGGTCCCGAAAACCTTACTCCATTCCCATCATCACAGTCAACTCTACTTTGAGGAGGCAGTTCTTTCCCAGCCGTATTTTGAGTGCCTTCCTACTATACCTGACAATATTTTGGTACAGTTCATAATGTTTCAATAGTCAACACTCTGGTGCTACCCGGCCAGGTTCCATGGCTCTTCACATGGTTTTCAGTGGCTAACTAGTTGGAAACTGATCACTCTTCTTCCTTCCTCATCTAAGTCTGGAAACTCAGCTGAAACCTGTCCACCATGGGTACACACACTCTGCTGCTATGTACCATACTGGTGGTATGGTTTCCAGCATCACAGAAACACAGTCAGCATAGCTCAACAAAGTGACAGACAAGTGTTGGCTTCAGTAACAGAGATTAATAATATGATGATCATGATTATATTGAGTGGAACACCTTCTCCCAAAATCCATACGTCTATATAAACAAGGTCAGCAGTTCGAAACTGCCAGCTGCTCCGCTGGAGAAAGATGAGGCTTTCTGCTCCTGTAAAGATTTACAGCCTCGGAAACCCTGTACAGGGTCACTATGGGTGGGAACCGACTGGATGGCACTTAACAACAACAAAAATAAGCAATGTTGGGCAGTTGCTAATTACTTCAAAGACTAAATAAGTTTCCTAAAAAGTAGTTTACTTGAGCGAGAAAAACAAAAGCCATCTTTCACGAGCATGCCTTACTTCAGAAGCGTGCGTACCTGCCCTTCTTCTCTGTGCGGGGCTTCTGTAAGGTCTGATTGAGCTGGAAAGAGGACAGGAACGTCTCCACGGGTCCCACATCCAGAGAATCAAGCTGCAGCTCTGGCTTCTGATCACTGGCCTCACATACCATGGCCAAAGCACCCATACTAACCACTTTCTGAATCTGTCCTTCAAGTACTGGTTCCTAAGAAGGAAATGGAACAATCTTTGACTTAACTGGTAAGGGCCTTGGTTGCCAACCTAAAAAAAATTCATGCCCTCCTGTGGTACAGTAAATGATCTAATGTCTCTTCCAGCCATAGTATGTAAACTCCCACTAAACAACATTTCTGCCCTGCTGGGTCTGGGTAAGAGAAGGTGAGAGAGGATACTAAGATGACATGACTCAGCGGTGGATATTAGTCCTGGTGTGGCGCTATAGGATAAGCACTCGACTGCAAGGTCAGTTTGAACCACAAGGTATGTGGTTCAAATTCACCAGCCACTCCTTGGAAACCCTGTACAGGGTCGCTGAGTCACAACTGTCTTGATAGCACTTAACAACAACAATGCATATCTGGTGAAAGACTAGAGGCAAACACATTTAGAGAGACAATGTTGTTGTTTCTGTTGTTTTAGTTGTTAAATGCCGTTGAGTCGGTTCCGACCCATAGCGACCCTCTAGAGGGTTTCCAAGAAGCGACTGGTGAGCTTGAACCACCAACCTTGCAGTTCAAACCGACTCTGCAGTCTAGCGCATTAACCCACAGCGCCACACCAGGACTCCAAATGCCATCTAGTTGGTTCCAAATCATAGCGACTCTGTACAGAATTTCTGAGGAGTGGCTGGGGGGTTTGAACTGCTGACCCTGCGTTTACCAGACCAGTGCTTAACCTACAGTATCAGGACTCCAAAGTAGCAATAAAACTCGCAATTCACATTGAGAGGACAATGTGATCTCTTCATTCAGCAAGTGGGTTCCTAGAACTAAGACATGAAAGTAGTTACATACAGAACACGGAAGCTGTATGCACAAAAAGGACTTCTTAACCTTTCTCCTACACATGTGCATGCAACATTCCTAAGTGTAAGTCTTACTTTAACTGTAGGGCCGAAGCATGTTTAAAGCCGGGAAGAACAGGGACTCTGGGACCATCTGGTCTACGTCTGTATCCTGCCTCTGCATTTACTAGTAGTCTGACTGTGCGCACATCGGGCATTCATTTTCTTACCTGTAAAGTGGAAGTCATGGTAACTACAAGAGAATCTGCTTCATACAGTTTACTGGGGGACTGGATCAATGTAAAGCACTGGGGTGGCACTGTAGGATAAGCTCTTGACCACAAGGTCGGTTTGAACCTCAAGATTGGTGATTCAAGCTTACCAGCTGCTCCTCGGAAACTCTACACAGGGTGGAACCGACTCAATGGCACTTACCAACAACAACAAGGACTTGGAACGCTAAGGAGGGGTGACCAAAACAGCCTGGGTTCACGCTTAGAGAAGAAATACACTCCAACCGAGAAGCTAGGAGTACTGGCAAAGCCCTCAACACAGAAGCTAGACCAAAGCAGCAATTTCAAATAATACCAACCAGCAACATGGAGCCCTGGTGTGGCACTATAGGATAAACACTGCGCAACTCATCTTAAGGTCGGCAGTTCGAGCTCACCAGCTTCTCCTCGGAAACCCTATACAGGGTTGCTATGGGTCGGAACCGACTCTTCAGCACTTAACAACAACAACTCACCTTAAGGTCAACAGTTCAAACACACCAGCCACTCCTCAGAAACTCTACATGCATTGCTGTGAGCCAGAACCCACTAGATGACAGTAACAACAAATTCAGCGACAACTAGTTCAAGAGAAAACTGTACTCTACCGCCCAAAGGCTGTTGCCTACAAGTCTGTGAAGTGCCTTCGAGTCAGTTTCGACTCATATTGCTTATGTTGTTAAGTGCCTTCAAGTTGGTTCTGACTCACAGTGACCCTGTACAGGGTTTCCAAGGAGCAGCTGGTGAGCTTGAACTGCCGATCTTAAAGATCAAACTGACCTTGCAGTCCAACACATTATCCTGCAGCACCGGCCCCCCAAATAAAGCAAGTATCTCTATAGATAAATTTACACAGCGACATCGTCAACATATGAAATACAATTAAGTGTTGCCTTGAAAGCAATTATGTCTATTAACCTCAATGTAATTCTGTGAATTACTAAAGAAAATAAGGTAATTTTTAAGAACAAATGTTACTGTGGCATGAGTCACAATTCTGGTCTACGCCGAAACTCACAATTCTGGTCCACGCCGAAGACTCACAACTCTGATCTACACCGAAGACTCACAACTCTGGTCCACGCCGAAGACTCACAACTCTGATCTACACCGAAG